ATTTTAGGGGGGTGTGGCACAGTCTTAATTTTGATAAAGAATATCTCTTTGGTTTTGAGACTTTAGTCTTTGCAACGTCAGGGATCTTATCTATGCACAATCAGCTTGTAACACTCCAAAGAGAAAGGAAAACTTGAAATCGCATCATATGACCCCTTTAATATCAGCTCTGAAAACACTAAATGTAGAGAAAACATCTGCAAAACTCAACAATGATTACATTTAAATACAATGTTATGGAAGTCAGTAAAAGAACATGGTGGCTGGCTGATTATTTCAAATGTATTTTAGCAGTGTTTATTATTGTATGATATCTTGGACATTATTCACAGCCACTTTGGATCTTATAATTGAGGCACTGAGATTTTTCACTCGACTGATCAGTTTGAAGTATTTGTTTGAACTATTTGACGGAAATGCCGTTTGTTTATATGGTTGGAAAACAAATATGTCCTCAGAAAGAAAGAATAAATAAATGACATACTTGCACAAAAGTTGATTTCTGACACGAGTCAATGTAACTGTTGACCCCAAAACAGCAAGAGGAATGAAGTGAACACTTACGGCCTCTGTCCGGCTCATCTGATTCACCTCTGCTGCCTTCAGATAGGAGACCAGCACAAATATGTCCTCTACCAACTGCACAAAGAAAAACAAGTCTTTACATATTCTAATTATTATTAATAACAAAGACATACAAATGAATTTTGCTGTTTGTTTGAAGCATCTTTAACTTGTGCTACAGTTATAAGCGTCTGATCAAGAGGATACGTTTGGTTTTCACTCTTTCTTCCTGTATTATGTGTATTTTTCTTTTCTTTTGCTTACCTGCAACCAGCATGTGAAGACCTGCAGGTATTTTATTCCTCGGAAAATCACCCTAGAAGACATCCCAGCCCCCGCACAAACTGTTTCAGTGTGTGTGTGTGTGTGTGTTTGTGAAGCGTCTCTGGACGCTGAGTTTGACTTGCAGGAGCCTCTAATAACGCCTTTAATTTGCATAATTGATTTAATCACTCGGCGTCTCCTTATCAGCCCTTTTGCAGTTAACTTTTAGTCATTATACTGAAATCTTTTTCTGTCATTATACTCAAGTGTAGTCTGACGGTTTGCTTGAGGACTTGGTAGAGCTGCTTGTGTGTGTTGTTGTCAGATACGTTTCCCTGCGCTTCAGTTGCCATGCCGACCACTGCGCGGCACTGTTGCATTGCACAGAAGATGACTTTAAAAACTTTTTGGACCATGCTATGCTTTGGGATACATTTATAATTTCCTTTACTATTCGTGTAATTCTCATGATATGCTACACAGGAGGGATGTAAGGTAAATGCCTAAAACGGCAATTAACAAGACAGGGGTGCAAAAAATGGGCGGGACTTTGTGCCATGGCATAGATTACCAATAAATAAATGAATGAATGAATGCATAAATGTGTGTATGCTTTTATTTTGTGCCTCGTTTATGTAGAAATCGTTGGATTATTATATATTAAAGTGCCATGTTTTCATTTATATGTTGCGTCGAAAACTTGGGAATTAATTTTAATATGCAAATATCTCCAATAAATCAGATTTCAGTGCGATATTTTTATTTATTTTTTGTCTATGGCCATCCACACGAAGCCAGAGCTTTCCCAATCCGATCCTCTTTTTTTTTTCTTCGTTCTAAAAAAAAAATCCCGTAAACACGGTGTAATCTCAATAAATATTTGCGTACGCACGAAACCACTGAAACCGACTCAAAACGATGTAGTATACATGCCACACCAGTATGTGTCGCTGTAATTCTGCCACAGAGATACACTAAAAACGGAGAAGAAGACTTGGAGCCAGTGTTGCTATCCACATTTTTCTTGTTGTAAAAATGGGCGCGGCCATTTGTAAATTCTATGGGTCTGACTTCCGGTCTCATCTGCATCCAGCTATTTTTAGCTGTACAAAACAATTCGTTTTGCTGCTTGATATTGAAAATTGGTGTGTCTTATCATATTATTTTAATGTATTATCTTATTTATGAACACACTGGTTTGTAGTGCAAACAGTTTTACCGTTTACTGCACATTGTTATTCTCGTTATTTACCTATAGCGGTTAATGAACAGGAAGTCTCACCCATAGGCTTACTTCCGCGTTGAAGAAAAAGGTGGATACGTACGATAATTATCGTATTTGTACGATAATTTTGACATCTGTACGATGTACGATCAATAATTTAAAAAATCCCATAATGTACGATCATTTCAGAATTTCACCTCAAAAACCTCAGAGTGTGTTAAGAATTCAGGAGGGTGCCCTGCTTTTAAGCCAAGGAGCACTATCTTGCGGTCCATAACAACGGCAAGAACCCCCTCAACATCTGGCAACACGCAGGCTTCCGATGACAGAGACTCACAGGTGGAGATATTTATCTAGTTTTTTATCTATTGTAATTTGCAGGTTGTGTCAAAAAGTTGTTGGTCTAGATAAATAGCTGTATTCTGTCTGTTTGACTCATGTACAATAATTTTCTTCCAAATACGATCATTTTGAGCTTCTGGTACGATACTTGGACATTTCCAATCTGGCAACACTGCTTGGAGCATGCGCATAAACCTTGCGCACTGTATACAAACATTTTTGCTTTAGTAATTTTTTTTTTTCTTTAGTAAAGCTAATAGGCTCAGTAGCTTCTGCAGCACAAACACAAGCATGTAGTCCGCCATTGTTGTTGTTGTTCCATCCCTGTTGAAAAAACCAGCATATGCTGGTTAGGTATGTTTTGACGCTGGGATGCTGGTTTAAGCTGGTCCTTTGCTGGTTTATGCTGGTCCTTTTGCTGGTTTATGCTGGTCATGTGCTGGCAAAGGACCAGCATAAACCAGCAAAAGGACCAGCATAAACCAGCAAAGGACCAGCATAAACCAGCATAAACCAGCACATGACCAGCATAAACCAGCAAAGGACCAGCATAAACCAGCATAAACCAGCACATGACCAGCATAAACCAGCAAAGGACCAGCATAAACCAGCATAAACCAGCACATGACCAGCATAAACCAGCAAAGGACCAGCATAAACCAGCATAAACCAGCACATGACCAGCATAAACCAGCAAAGGACCAGCATAAACCAGCAAAGGGACCAAAAGGACCAAGCACATGACCAGCATAAACCAGCAAAGGACCAGCATAAACCAGCACATGACCAGCATAACCAGCATAAACACCAGCATAAACCAGCAAAA